GTATGGTGGCCGGATGATGTCAAACCTTGACTAAAAAATGGGATCCGAATTTGCGTTTGTCCTGAAAAAAACAATACCCCCGCCCTTGAACAAAACAATATCAAAAAGAGGTGTTTGCGGGGGAGAAAAACAGCAAGGAACCTTCGGGCAAGCAATCCTCGTACCCCATCGGCGAAATCATTCAATAGAGCGGTTCACTTGGGTGTGGCTCAACATGAAACAGCTGGGGTTACGCAGTTTGTTTCTTCCGTTTGCTTAAGCCCCCTGGAAAAACAAAAGCAACATATGCCCAGGAGTGATAAGTTCCTTTAAAACCAAATATACATATATATATGTACGTATCTACATTTATATGTATTCTCAAGTACTTGGAAGGCGTCCATAAACCAAGGTGCCATGTGTATGCATTTCCTGAGCGACAGCCAGTTGGAGCCTAAGGCTCGGGTCAGTGAAGCTGCCGAGGTTCGGTCGTGATCAAGCTTTATGGAAAGCCATTTGAGTAATCAAAACCGATCAGTATTCAAAACTTACCCCTTAAAACTCCAAACCCTGGGGAAGTTAATCTTTTACAGACATATCGCCCGTGTTACCCCCAAAAAAGTTGAAAAGTTGTGTTTTGAAGAGGTAAGAAAAGGGCCCAGAACCATGGCAAATAATTCAACATGTCAAGCCTTCCGGCCCAGAGAGGGTCCAACCAGACGGTTGCACTTGCGATCGGCAAATGAATTCCCTCGCCACATCTCACACAGTGAAACACTTGCTGGTATAACTCAGTTGCCCAAAGGACCCAGAAATAAAAGGTTAACTTTTTGGGACCTTTACTAAAAATGGACCAAACATGGGAAACCAAAAGGTCAAAAGGTCGGCTTTGGGCAAGTGAGATATACCAGAAATTGCTGCATTCAAGATGGGTAGGGGCAATGTTGTAGATCCATGCCTTCTTCCCTACGGTGCACTCCAGACATGTCTGACATGACCCATTGAAATAAGGACATGTCCTGGGAGCTTTGCAACCAACCAAATAACATTTGCTTAAAGACATCTGCAAATTCTACACAAATCCTTTACAACCCTTGGCATGGTAGCAAATTACAAGTTTTTTTGCATGAGCAGAAGCCAACAAACAACTTGCTAACAACAGTGACGTGTCCAAAACATGGAAATGACGGATCCCCAAGTGAACGACCTACATGAAACCCCTGAATGAATCGGTGGAATTGCTCGCCATAGGCAAAGAGATTGCACCTTTTCCTCACAAAAGAAGGTACCCTCCCCTTCCACTAACATGGCACCTGACAGGGACCCGGTCCCTCCAAAAGGAAACTCTTCCGGATGCCAACCGCCTCCGAAACTCGAAGGAAGAAAGGGCACCACTGGGTGTCTAGGTGCTGAACCTGGTTGCCCAGGCGGAGAGACAATGCGCCCTTTTGCTCGCGCAATCGAAGGGGCAGCTGCAGTGCAATAAAGCCGCCGATCCGGTCAGTCCAATTGTGCCAATCAAAGGCGCCTTAAAGGAACCCGTCAAATTATGCGGCCCTTGCCGTGACCGCAAACCATCTCGTTGCTTACGCACTTTGTTACGTTTCCTTCGGGGCTACGAAGTCGCGCCTACCGTGGCGAGTGTCGGCCAGCTGAGTTGATCCGATCCGGCGAAAGATCGGGGCAGCACGGATCGATTCTCGGAGATGTCAAACGTTGGGCGTCTCCATGTGTGTGTGTGTGTGTCAGAGTGCCTGAACCTCAAACTACCCCAAAAATATCAAACCTTTTTTTTTACCACTAAACTGGTCCACACCCAATAAGACTTGAGTCTATGAACTCCCCGGGCTCATGAGGAGATCGATCCGTCGATTCGCTTGGCGTGAGTCCACTTTCATTCCGCCGGCTGTACAAGGTGCTCAGCGCTGGTCGACTCGTCGACTCCACCTGGCGCTCGGGTCGAGAAGCCGGCCATCTCCAAGTGAGTCACAATCAAGACCCAGTACTAAAATGGTCGTAATCCCAGAACCATGCTTCAAGAATCAAGGCAGCCGCAACTATTTCTGCTTTCTATCCTTCATCTACTCAGGCTTGGATTGTGGCTCAAGTGATGACGGGTTGATAGACCCATGCGTATGTTTTTGCTGTTTGAGGGTACCTGGACCCTCAACCTACAAAAGAAAAAGGGGAGTCACCCTATAAATTTGAAAAGAAAAAGGGGAGTCACCCTATAAATTTGGCGCAACAACAAATGTTCCTGGGTTGCTTGAGGGTTCAAAACACGTTTCTTGGAAACGAAAAGGACGTCCTTGCCATTTCGTTTTTTCTTGCGGATGGGGGGTCCCTAAAAACAGACACACGCAAAATCACAAGCCAAAAGGGCGAGCGCTTCTTCTCTGAAGAAACCTTGCCTGGGACTTGCTCAAGGGAGCATACCGCGCATCCGGCTGAAACAAGGCTCCCCTCTCTTCCCACACGCGCCTTGTGCCCCACACCGGCCCTGCCACCAAAAAAATGGGCCTCTTGGGTGTGGCTCAGAATGAAACAGCTGGGTTTCTGCGGGCGTTTCCGCCACACAGTGCCAAGGTGCCATCTTTTGAAAAGGTGCCATCTTTTGCGCGGCCCTTCCGCGGGATTTACCGCGGATGGATTTCGCCCGCCAGTACCACAGAGCTGTAGGTGGCCGTTACTTACCTTGGCCCTTCACAACGCGGACAACTGAGCCGAGCCTGGGGAAAGGGAAACCTGGTGCCAAACAAAGCAGCTTGGACATACTCCGGCCGCTTGTTAAACATGGTCTCTTGTTGCGAGTTGGTACCACTTATGTTTGGCTCACTTGGCCAAAGGAGCTGGAAAAAAATGGTTGAGCCTTTGGAACCTTGGCAAAAAATGGGTACCAAATCAGGGAAACCACACTCAGTTGCCCAAAGGACCTGGAACTAAAAGGTTACAATAACCTTTTGGGCCATGACTAAATCTGGACCAAAATGGAAAAGGTCGGCTTTGAACAACTGAGCAAAAGGTCAAAAGGATGGCCTTGGACACGTGAGTTGGCTCTCAAAGGGCGGCCACAAGGTACGCAGTGGGGGGTCTACAAAAGACGCACCTCAAATGACAAGAGCAGGGATCCTTACATACCACACCTGAACATTGCCTTGTCAATGGTGGTTTCCCTGTATTGTGGTGGAAAAAGCCATGTTGCAAATGGGCCCTGCCAACAAAGCAAAAGGGGCAAACAACTTCGGTCAAAGCTGCCTTGTTTGCTTGCTTCGTGACAGAATTGCTTCGGGAGAAAAACACAACCAAAACCGGGGGGGGGGGGGGGAAACATGGTAATAACTGTATCTTTTAGGTTCCCTTTGGGTAAGTTAACAAACAGTTATGGCTGCCATTTAGCAGCCAAATACGTGGCTATACATTGCCAAGACGTTGAAACAAAGTGAAGCTAAACTGTCCGCGAGTTTGTCGGTATACATGCTCGTCATTGGTCAAGAAGCTTGAGTAAGTTTGGTCGAATGTGTCATTTGACCATGGCACATGCAGAATGCATTCCTTGTCTGCCCTGGGATTAGCGTGGGAAAGAAACTAAATCCGGGCCTGGTTGAGAGTAGGCTTTTGCCATGACAGCCGGGAAAAGGTGTGGTCTTTGGAGCCTTTTTGCCCCTGGATACAATATCATCTTACTTCTGTGCTACTCAAAATACTCGATTTGTTCAAGGCATTTTTGGGAAAACCTTGTTCTCCATGGTAACTAACTCTTTTTTTGGTGGAGTGTTGATATGATACCCTGAAAAAAGTGCGTATTTGGAGTAGGGGGTAAGGTAAGCACACATTTCATTCGATCCAGCTCGCTCACGTGACTCGCTCGCGGCGCAGCGCCGCTTGCCTCACTCGACGACCTCGAGCTCATCGCTGCTCCAACCCCTGAGGCAGCGTTTTCCAGGGATCGCTATATGATACACCTGAACATTGGGTGGAAAAAGCCATGTTTCAAATGGATGCAAAATGTATCTTTTAAGGAGCCCTGCTCCCTCTTGGTGGTCTGGTTTTGGTTTGTTCCGGGGTGGCTTCCCATCTACCCAATCCAAATCCAATTCAAAGCAAGGAAGCTTCTGATGGCAAATTGCGGGTGGCCTAGTCGCAACATTTAGATGCATTTGCCGGAGCTGCAGCGCCTTCGTCAGAAAGAACCTTGCGCACGGCGTGACTTTTTCCTTTGCAGCTTACGTAGATGACAATCTCCAGTGAGGCTTATTCAAAACTTTCCTCTAGTTGGTAGTTTGGATTGGTGGTTTGGTCTGCGACAAACCCTCTACAAGTCTACAAGAACCAAAGGTTCAAATCCGCAGACCACCAGCCCAAACCACCAATTGGGGGTTACCTGATTTCCAAATTCCGGAAAAGTTGAAGCCTCGCAAAGCCGGGTTGCATCGGCTTGGTTCGCCGAGCCATCGGATCCACTTTCCAGGCCATGGCCTGTCAGCTGTTCCGGAGAATGCATGGCCCCAGCCTGCTCACAGCATTCACAGGCAAGCACCACGACCGGTGCACGCTAAAACTTCATTCTTGCACCACCCCCACAAAGGTTCAGCCTCCGTGGCCTTCGTGGGCTGATCAAACAGGTGGCCCAAGTGCGCAAAAGCCTTAAGCTCCCGATTCTTTGGTTTGGACGTCCTGGTGGACCTTCCCCATTTGGACAAGCAGGAGTAACCAATCTAAACATTCAGAGGACTGTGACACAGGGACTCCAAACACAGCAAAAACAAACAATCCTTGCGGACCCTAAGTGGCCCGAGAGAGCGAAAGATGCGACAAAACAAGGTGTTGGATTGTAGCACTGCAACTTTGCAGTGTGCACTCTCACCCGACTCCCTGATCAAAAGGTCGTTACAGGTGGGTGCTGTTCAAATTGAACTAGGGCGGCAAAAGATCTTCATGCTGCGTCGGCCGCTAGCTCCGACTCATTGCTTTGAATTGGTTACGACCCCTAAAAAACATGAAATATTTCAAGTAGTGATAGATTCCCTTTCAAACCAACAAGGGAAAATAACAAACATATTCCTAAGCAAACGGAAGATTGTGCTCACAGCGGCACAAGGGGCATTGTGGTCTTCCACCACTCCTCAGCCACCACTTGAGCACGCAGTCACCGTAGAAGGCATGACTGCCTCACGTGGAAACTGAGAAACATCTTTTGATACCAACCGAGGTCCAGATTTGAGAGGTTAGAATAAGGGTGCCAGCCTTTTTCTGGACGTCGATTTTAGTAGGGGAACCGAATCTCCCAACCAAAAAAGAAACCGTAGGGCACCAAGCTGGGGGACCTAACAACTATAAAGCACAACTCAAAAGACCGACTTCCTTTGGCGCCGAGTTGCAGCTCAGCTCGGCCAAGGGCGTTCCAGGGGGTGCAAGCTCCATGCAAACAGCGCAGATCTGCTCGTGGTCAAGATGCTGCACTGCGAGCTCCGGCAAGTCAATGGCCGTTGAGGTCGATATTTGGGGCCGTTGGTGCAGGGTTCTCCACCATGACACCAGGATCAGAAGGATCCAGAAGATCAAGGCAAGCCCGCAACCTGCCGCAATGCTCCAGTTCAACGCCATGCTGAACAGTTGCACTCGGATTGCTTGAGGAAAACTGCGGCGATTCCACTGGTTGGCATGGACATGCCCCCAGACCTGCAAAAGTCAGCCCCCACACATCCATGCACTACCCTGACTCATGCAAGCAATTGGGCTTGACCAGCGGTATGCTTGTATGTGCGGCGCCTTGCGTCTTTTGCATGACGCATGTCCACCCAGTCTTGAAGGTATTCACTCGAATTCGCAACCATACCCCCTACTCCACATACCCTCTTTTTTCAAGGTATCATGTCGACCCTCTACTGAAAAAGGAGGTTTTACCGTGGAACACCAGGTTTTTTCCAGAAATACCCTGACAAAAAGCTGGTATTTTGAGTAGGGGGTATAGCTGCTCGGGCCCTCCATGTGCGAAACCCACATGCCAGAGTTGAAGCCACGCAGAAGCTGAAACCCGGATGGGCCAAATGCCCCTCTCGGATGAACAAGACTCAAGAAGCTGCCCGCTAACCAGTAAACGAGTAGTCCAGTAGCACCTTATGCGTGGCACATGCCCAGCGCTTCAAATGAAACAAAACTCAAACATGGATTCTAGAGCGGGTGCATTCTGCCCATCTGCCCAGAAACAATGGTAGCAGCAAGCCGACGCTTCCCAAGGAAAACGAAAACAAAAAACGGGGTCTGACGAGCAAACGTAGCAAGGTGGCCCACGCTGTTTTGCGGCCTGCTGATTGCCTATCGGTTCGGCTTGGCTTCTGATCGCCTTTTCGCGCTTCTCTTCGCTCCATGACGCTGTTCCCTTCAGCAGCCCAGGTTCTTTTTTTGCTGGGGGGTGAAAGAAACCAGCTTTCCCACTGACCGACTTCGCAAGTTGAAGAATTCACAGCTCAATAGAAGAAAGTCCAACTCTGTCCCTTGTTCACCCCATTGAAGCCGTATTCCCAGGACTTCCGTGAAAAAAAAACACCTCGATTTGCCGTCGGGAAAAAACTGGCAACCAAGGTTTTTCTACGGCAAATGGCCGCAAGACCACTGAACAGCCGGAAGCCTGACAAAGGGCTTCCAAGGGAAATTGTCATCCAGGACCCCTGTCCTTACTTAAAACTCCCTCCGCAACCTGGGGAAGTTCTCATCTTTTACAGACATATCGCCCATGTTACCCCAAACAAGTTGAGAAAAGTTTGGTGCTTTTAAGAGGTAAGCGTCAGGTTCCATTTTCATTGTGGGGAGCATCTTTTGTGAGGGACCGAGTTGTGTTTTTCAAGTTAGTGCAATGGACGGCGGAAAGTCGGAGCTCAGTTGCCCATGGACCCAGAAATAACATGCGATCGCCTTTTGGAACCTTGAATAAAAATGGATACCAACTAAGGAAACCAACAGGTCGGCTTTACCTTCCAACTTGAAAGGGCAAGCTGTCTCGGTTGCGAAATCTGCTCCCCTGCTCAAAGTTCAACTTTTAGCGGTTTAATAGAAAACCCCATTCGTTGGCGAAAAGTGGTTTAGTCCTAACATCCCTTGGCAAGATGCACCAAAGTTCCAACTTGAAAGGGCAAGCTGGCTGGCGCTCTGGTTGTTGTGTTTGCCCTGGCCGGCCTCATTTCCTGCAAGTGGTCGTGGCCGTCTTCCTCGTCACTGTCGTGGTAGATGGTGATGCGGCCTTGGTGGGGAGTCCGGGACCCAAGTCCATTAATGTTAACCCCGGATTAATAAACCCCTTGGTTGATTAATGAGGGGGGCGTCTCCTTTTATTGGGGATTCACGAGGGAACACACACCCCCCAAATAATGGGATGGGTTCATTAATCCTGAGTCAACATTAGTCTTCCCCATCGGGAAACGGATGGAACTCCCGGGGTCGAAATTGGAAATTACCCTCCCCCAATTCCATATCTAAGGGGGTGGGGTTTGTGATTTTTCGCGGGCACCCAAAAATGGAGGTCTTGTTGATTGGTTGAAGGGCAAACGCAAAGCGAAACAACCATTCTGGGGGTTGCCCGATTTCGACACACACCGAAACTACGTACACAAGCCGCCACATGGGTGTGGGCCAAAATTAGGTACCCAGAATGGCTTGCCCTGGTAAATGGACACAAAGGCTAAAACCCGCGGTCCGATTGGTTTAATTTTGACCCATATCCAAATCAGGAGAGACTGCAAGTGAATGGTTAGCCAAAAGCCCGTGGACCGGGATTTTTGGGGGCTCGACATGTTTTGACTCATGCTCGGAAGCTTGTTTTCCACACATGACCCCAGGGGTTGCACGACCTGCCAGTCCCTTTCGTTTCGTTTCTGTTGACTGACGTAGAATGTCTCGGAGTCAACTGGATGCACTTGAACCGTTGGATCTTACAAACCTGATTTGATTCGGGTTTTCCCTTGGGAATTTTCGTCAACCTTTCAGCTCTCATGAACTGCAGATGCCACTGGAACGGAGGTGTCTTGGTTGTCGTTGGGAAACATTTTACATGTTTGCCTATTGTGGTTTAGTGGTTGAAATCCCCACTTAACTGCTAAAATTCAAATTGTTGCTCCCCTTCCAACGTCAAGCAAAGTGTCTTGGGCATGTTTTTTCTTGAGACTTGTGGCATGAAGCCAGCAAAACGGGTATCCAAAAGAAAGAATCGAGAAGGAACTTGAGAGAAGGAATGCTGGAAGACGCCCCTTAAGGGCAAGGCCTCGGCGTAGAGGCGCCCCCTCTGAAGTCTCCCCACCATATTTAGCGAACCTTAGCACAAGGACACTATCATAAGAGACCTACCAACAACTCCGAAGCGGGAAAAAAAAAGACGGTGGGGAAATGATTGTGTGTCTAGAAACTGTCCTCACACGGAAAAAAAAAACATTTCCCCAGAACCAAGCACATGGCTTGACTAGCATCAGGGAAACTCGACAACCTGTATTCGAGCAGAACCTGCGCTGGCTGCCGCATGCAATGGCTTCTAGTGTGTGTAAGGAGGAGTCAAAACCATACCGTTGCACAACCACCTTCACACAACGATTCAAGAGAACAAAGACAGAAACTGCAACCGGGAAAAACAACTTCCCTAGCACCAAGCACATGGCTTGGCTAAAATCATAGAGAGAGAGAGAGACAAGAGAACCATTCAAGAGAACAAAATCATAGGGGTCAAAATCTACCGTTGCACAACCACCTTCACAGAACCATTCAAGAGAACAAATACAGAAACTGCAATCCAATGGCGAAAACACCTCTCCCTAGCACCAAGCACATGGCTTGACTAACGTCAGGAGGTTCCCACATACAAGTTTCATCAAATGGAGAAAGAAACCTGTCCCAGGCACATGGCTTGACTAAGAAACAGGGGTCAAGTACAAGACCTTCACGACTCTTCGTTCGCCCAAACATCGCTAGGTGCCCGGCGGGCGCCATGTATCTGGGGGTCGATTCGATTCAAAGCGAGGGCTTTGGGGAGTGAACTGAAAACCCATGGAAACCGCAAGCTGGATGCTTACCAAAGAAAAAAAGCCAACAGGGCATTTCAAGTCGGTCTTGGGCAAGTGAGTAAAGAAAACCAAAGTTGGATGCTTGCCCAGAATGCCCGAAATATGCCTTGCGCCCTTCATGTTGACCCCAAATGAATGAACCCATCGAATTTATAGGGGGGTTGGGGTCTGGATCCACGTTAACAGGGGACAAGTCTATGAATCAACGAGGGGGGTTTTCTTGGCTCACAGCTGATCTCCTTTAAAAGGCCATGAGCAAGAATGGGCACCCAACAGGGGAAGCCAACAGGCCATTTCAGCTCGGTTTTGGATGCAAGTATGTGAAGTTTGGACGCTTACCGATGCCCAACATATTATTGCTGGCATGGTATATTGAAGAAGTTGCCTTGCTCCCTTCATGTTGCCCCCACATGACGGAACCAATCCTATTCAGAACCTACCAAAAAAGTGAGGCGGGCAGAAAAGAACAGGCTTGCACCTGTTACTGGTCGAAAACCAGGTTTTCGGTTGGAGAATCTAATTTTGCTTCCTGAAACCCGTACGAAACCCGTACAACACCCATATAAAAGCAGTACAAAAACCGTATTTGGCTTTTGAAGCCCAGGTTTCTCCTCTAAAAGCCAGGTTATGTGTCGGCAGCCACTTTTTTGTAGGATTTCGGAGTAGCGGGTAGGGAGGGGGGGCTGTGCCAAAATGGTCTGAATCCCCAAAAGGGGACCATCCGGTTCAAGACATTTGGAAGCTCAGGCAGGACCCAAAGGCACAAAGCTGATCGCTGGGTTGCCTTGCTCCCTTCATGTTGTCATGTTGACCCCAAATGGGAGGCTGCCCCCCCCCAAAAAAAAATGCCTTAAAAAGGAAGTTACCTGGATCCCAGTTGCCAAACTATTTTCCAGCTACTTTTGCCAAATTATGGGCTAGTGGGTAAAGTGCCTGAAAAAAGTGGCTACTTCGGGAACCAGGTAACTGGCACTTGGGAGGGTACCCACATTAGCAAATCATCGCCGACGGGGGAAGCAAACCAAAGTTTCAGAGTCTGAGAGGGCGGTAGCTCCCCGCATCAACGCAGGATGCGGTTACGCCACCAACAGGAAAAGAACTGACATCTGTGAGCACATTCACTTGCCGAAGCCTAAAGTGGGTTCTCATGATATCTATTCAGCTATCCATCCATTTACCTATCCACCCATCCTCCCATCCATCACACCCATCCAGTGACCAATTCAAAGATGGAACTCCTGGCTTTCCGCGGACGATATATCAGCCACCCTTCGATTATAGTCCTACTGGGTGTCCTTGGTTTTCTCCTATTGGGTGTCATTGCTTGGTGGTTGTTGCACCCCGCCCCGGTGCAAAAAGTGAACTTCCTGTTAGATTTGTGGGAAAACACGCATATTCTTGAACAACGAAGCATAAACATCAGTCAAGACTTGGCAAACTTCCGCGCCTGCAAGGCTTGACGGATGTGGTGGATCTGTTGCTGCCCATGCCAGGGTCGCCACATTTCATCTGGCAAGTCGGGCGGGCGAGCAAGCTAGTGCTGCATTGATCTCTGTCAACTAAGGAGACTCAAACTACCCTGACAGATTGGACGTCACTAATGATCCCACATTTGCTTGAGTCCCCAGGAAAAATAATACTTCCAGTAGTGGT